AAGAACTGGGGTTCCCTCTGGAAATCAAAGCCAGCACTAATAAAATCACCATGGGCAAAGGAATATTATCATTGAGGATGTGCCAGCCATGGATGTGTCAGGTCACAGGTTGAAAGGCTGAACCCTTTACCACCTCAGTCACCTCTGGAGAAGTCTCATCATGCTCCCTGCTGCAAAAACAGAACACTGGCGTATGCCATCCCATTTTTTGCACAGGCCCATGTTGTTCGGGTTTGTCTGAAAATGGGGTATACCATGGCAGACCCCCCCAAAAATGGTCGAAAATTGTTGGGAAAATGATGAGGAACTACTGGATTTTCGAGTTTTCCCCCAGAAAATGTTCAGACCAAATCGTTGCTGATCTTCCTGGACCCCCACAGATTTCCAGATTTCTGAGGTGTCAACTTTATCCAAGGCCTTCCAGTACTACCAAGCCTGACGGCCAAGCTTTTTTGGGCCAACTTTGGAGGTGGTGCCCCTATTAAAAGAACTATTATAGCTCATGACTGGGGCATGGCACCAAGAATTTTGCGTGTTTCCTTCATTCCATCGGTATTTGTCAAGATTGATTGGCCTTTCTATGCTTTTTGACAGTTGAGCACAAGTTTTTTTTGCGTACAGGCCACGTTGAAAGCCTGTCTCGACAATCGCAAGTTGGAACGAAACCACCATGCCCAGTGCGATCAGTTCGATCATGGCCGACCAGTGGATCGGATGAATTTCTGTGGACGTTCACCGCGTTTTTGGTGAACTTGTGAGGTGTTGAGTCATGTTTTTGATATCTAAGCTGCTGGTCGGTAGCCTCTGGTAAACTAACTTACATAACGAACTGGAAAATCACCATGCTATCAATGGGTAAATCAACTATTTCTATGGCCCCTTCAACAGCTTTTACTGTTAGTTTACCAGGCCGGGTAACCTGCCTTTTCCGGTACCACATCATCCCATTCCAAAGATATCTGCCAAGATAGGCTGGACTCACTGCCAAGATCTGCCAAGCACCGCTCAATATATTTAATATGTCCGACATACTGTATATATACCAGTTCCATTTTGACAAACATGTCCATTGATTATACCATGCGCCCATGTCCCTTGGTAGGGCTACATGCCGCGCCGTCAAGGCTAAGAACTTGCTGATCCTTTACGATGCAGTGGGTACACTGGCGGATTCCGTAGGTGCGGATTCTGCTGGTCGGCTGGTCCGCTCACGGCCATTGGGCCATGGTTGATATCCAGGTAGCCATAAGTTGTATACCTAGACCCTCCAAGGACCCTTTCAAGTGGTGTTTTACCTCATTTAAGTATACTTTTACCATCTTGTTGGGGTAGTGGGAGGATCTATGCACAGTAAGAATGACAACGACTTAAGGCAGCATGTAGGTTTCTAAATTCCCTACAATTCCTAGCTGCTCACGTGTCGGCCCCCTGTAGGACCTGAGCTGGATACCCCAAGGCGCACGTTTGGATTTGCGAGGTCGAAGATCTGCAAACGATTTGGAAAGCAGAATTCCATAGAGTTGTGGGAATTGTAATAGAAATCCTGGAGTCGGAGTTATATATAATCTATAGAAATCCATAGAACTGTTGGAATTGTTGGAATTGTGATAGAAATCTACTGCAGTTATCTGCAGTTCCAATAGGTGTGTTTCCATTGGGAGAAATACAGATTATGTTCCAAACAACGTTTTCTTAAAATTTCAGATGTGGTTCCAGAATGAGAATGTGGTCAGACTGAGCTACATCCCAAAGTAGGACATGTCTGGTTGGTGGTTTCAAACATTTATTGTATTTTCCATTTCATATATGGGAATGTCATCATCCCAACTGACAAAGTCATATTTTTCAAATAGTTATTGCACCACCAACCAGATGTTCTTTCATCGTTTCAGACTACGACTGGAGAAAACTCTCCGAAAGGCCTCTCCGTGGAACTCGATTCTGATCTTTAGTCGACAAAATGGACATCACAAAAAACATCACATTAATTACCCTAAACGTTTACCGTTTGCGAACTGGAAAAGCACCATTTTTTCATGGGAAAATCAACTATTTCGACTGGACCATTTTCAATAGCTAACTTTGTATGTTTACCAGAGGGTAATAGTGGGAATTTAATCAACCGCCAAAGGTGGATCTTAAGCTTTCCCCAGCTGCTCGTAGTACGATGCTGCGCAGAAATTCCATATCCGAGCTATGGCTTTGCCTGGCCCCCTAAGTTTTCCATGCTAGTCAATATACGGGAATTCCATGGAATTCCCATATAATATGGGTATTGTTGATCCCGATTTCTGGACACAGTGCTCCATAATCTCCATAAATTTGGGCACGGCTTTACCCTGACATGTTCCACTTCAAGTTTCAACAGGTACAAGCAGCAGCTCCTGGAGCCTCTCTTCCAGATCCTTGGTGATGGCGCCATGGGAGATTTTTGCACCTGATCAACTGGCAACTATTTTGGGTGCCAGAACATGCCAACATATGCTAAACGGGTTTGGGTATTTTACTTGGGCAGACCAAGAAGGGTTGGATGTCCAAGAAACATGTTTTTTGCGTTTGTCGCATTTGTTTTTGTCCAACGGAAACGAGATAGATTTGCATTTGGTTGAGGGTTGGAAAGTACGTTTGTATAGAGGTATTATTTATCAAATAGTTGAAATATATTATATAATATTATATATATATACAATTTAAAAAAAATACAATTATATGCATTTACTGTACATATATATATATATTATATTTATATATATGTATAGAATTGTATAGATACTGAGATGCGTAGATGTGCATATATATATACATACAGTATATACAGTATATGCGGATATGTAGATATGTATCAGACATGTATATACATTCACATGTATAGACATATACATGTATAAACATAATCACATATACAATTATACATTTTTGTGGATACGTATGTATAATGTATATATACATATATCCATAATTATCCACATATATATATCTATGCATATATATATATATGCATATATATATATATCAATATATATATATATATCAATATACATATATCAATATATATATATATATCAATATATATATATCAATATATATATATATATATCAATATATATATATCAATATATATATATATATCAATATATATATATATCAATATATATATGTATATATATATATATGTATATATATATCAATATATATATATATTTAAATACATATATATATACAAATATATATATATATACACAAATATATATATATATATATAAATACATATATATATGCATATATATATAATATACATAGAGATATGGCTATAGATAAACAGTCGTGTATGTACATATATATATACACACGTATGTGTGTGTAGTTTCAACGCGGCCTCAGGAAGTTCAACAATACCCCGGACAATGACAGATCAATCATTGCCCTCTTTGAGCAGCTTGGCACAGGGTTTTTCAGCGCGTTGACTGTAGGCCCTGTATTCTTTTTATGTGATTGCATGGATGGGGATGGCTGTCTTTTTTACCCTGATGGAATCATTATTTTGCAACACGGGATCAATTCGAAGAGTTATACGAGTTCTTACCAGTCGGAAAGGTGTGGGGATACCATAGTCCACCCTATGAAGTGAGGTTTGCGGAGCACAGCAACATGTTTATTTTGATGCCTGGAAGATTTCATGTTTTTCAAGTACCAGGTACAAGGTGCAGAATCTTTGCTGAACCCAGAATTTCAAGTGTTTGAACACCCTTTACTTGACGTAGCTGGATGCAGTGTCTCTTGTTTCATTATGAACCTATACAACATGCATAGTAGATACACTATACATATAGAGACACATTGGTTACTTAGTGTTTTGCAAATATCAGAATCTGGGGATTGTCTCCTGAGCGTTTCTGAAATTCTTTCACCCCTGTTGGGTTGAAAAAAATGGCGGACGTTGTTTTTTTTTGCTGCGCATTTGTTTCGCCACGCGGCGAGAAAACCGCGTGAGGTGTTTATCTTCTTTGGCCGCCAATTTGGGACCGTCTTTCGGTCCGCTTTGCAAACCGCTGGGAAACCTGGAGTTTCTTCAGGTCGTCAGGTCAGGACGCTTTAAACATTGAAATGACTGCACTCATCCGATCAGAATCCCAGTTGATCATCATTCTTAAAATGAACATCCACCAGTTGGTTAAGATATACCTCTGATTTTCAGACCGGAGTTAGTGATTGGATGCACATCCTTCCTGGAAGGCTCTTCGCTATTGTGGGATGCAATCAAGTATTGATGATACATTCCATTCAAACATATAGTACTTGAGACTTTGAGACCACCCTTTCAAAATCATTTGAATGGGAACATGTTGGTCTGGTTCGGTGGTTGATGTTCAATCATCAACGGAGGAATATCACTGCCCCAAAAAAGCTTGTGTGTAGCAAACATCGGTCAGTTGTATCTACAATATGATATATATATATTATCATATGTATATCCATGGACAAGTGTTTGTCTGGTTCAAACTAACGTGTTTGCTTCGTTTGCTTCTTCTATTTCACATTTCTGTAGCCTACAAACCCCCATGACTTGTTGGTGTCATGCCATTTTTCTGGTTGGGACCGGTTGGTCACTCTTGTATTATATATATAATACATATATATATATATATACCTAGACCAACCGTTTCCTTCAAATTTGAGGGATCTTGCAAAAAAACAGGTTTCCAAACCCAAAACCCGGTTTTGGGATCTTGATGGTGATTGTCAATGTTGTGAATGCATCTTGATTTGAACCAGCACCGTTGCAAGCCTTTTTGTTCTCAACCTGGAGCACATGTCCATCCCAATGCAGCCGGGTTGCCCAGTCCAAGCGTGGTCTGTGATGAAATGTGAAAGCAGGGATATCTAGAATCTTTTAAAGCAGAGATATCTAGAATTCTTCTATCATCAACTAGACTCTTGATTGCTTTGGGTCTTACATATTGTTTTTACAGCATCGATTGGAGGATAGTGGTAATATAATATCAACGCCTTGGCTCTGGGATAATTATGCCATTCTCCACATACTTTGCGTACGCGGCTAAGAGTGCCCTTTGCAATGTCCTTTGGACAATAGTCCGGGCATTTACCCGCCGGCTAATGCGGCTGGGCCGCCCGATGAAATCTTCATCAGATTGTGTTGAAACCAATAATGGATTCAGCACAAAAGGACCTTTTCGCCCCTGTTCACGCATTCTGTGAAAAATGTGATGCAACCTATGGTAATTTGGCATTTGCAAAAACAAAAGTCGAGACTGGTCATGGCAAATCCTCACAGCACGTCCAAAATGCTTTAGAAAGCCAAAGCCATTGGCGGCCAAGGGCAAGGCATCAGACGCTGGTATCCACAGTTCAAAGCTGTAAACACCTGTCAGAAACTTGTCAATACAACGTGCAGCGCTGTAAACAACAGAAAGGATAGGATCTTCCAAAACTTCGTTTATGCGACCTGCGCATTCCGCGACAAACCACTTGGTGATGGCTGTTGTTGTGGCCCCTTTGGACCAAGTTCCAGCAGGATAGGTGTTTCCCACCCACCCCACGTTTTGCAAAGTAAACCGTTTCAGGGTTGGATTGTATCGATTGGTACGGCACCATGCCCCATAAGCCAATGACACAGCTTCCAACCGGGCTTCCTTTGACCCATCATACAAATTTGAAGATGCCAAAGCTACGATAGCTGATGACAAAAACGACTTTCCAGCTCCGATGTGCCATCCATGGAATAAATCGTAGGGGAAAAAATCGGGTTGAGCCGAATCATCATGGGGAAGTTCTTCAAGTACTGCTGGTACCCGATAAAAGGGACTGACAGTGTTGATTGTTTCCACCCACTTTGGATCATCACATTGCCAATCCTCCCAAGGATATCCTCTCGTATCAGCCATGCAGAGGTGACAGATGCCACGAGGCTCCGCCCGTGAGCTTTGCCTCTTGGCTGCATTGTGGAACGACCGGCTCATGCAGCCGGCCTTAATGTGCCACGGCCAGTCCCCCATGATGTAGAGAACAACGAAGAAGAATCGTTCATTTCTGTTGGCATCACTAATCCCCTCCTCCCACAGAACCTTCAAATCCATGGACACACCACGTAAGAGATCCTGAAAAGCATCGATGTCTTCACCATCATCATCCTCATAGAGGTGTTTTGGTGCTACACTCAGTAAGAACCTTGTAGTCCAGGTTGGCTCTTCGTAATTCAAATTCATAGCCAAGTAGTCTGTCTTGTCAACTTTTGAGGTGGACAAACCGTAGCCCAGCACACTATGTGTGGAAACACACAAGATTGGACTCTTTTTCTGTGATCGACCCTCGTCTCCATGTAACAGTAATGCACAGGTATTCCCCAGCGGAATGTCCCGTCTTCTGAAAACAGGATGATTGGGCTGAATTGTTCTGAATCTTTCCCAAAACGTAGTCCAAATTGCAGTACATCTTTCAGGATCTGGGTCTCTGAGGCCACATAGGCGATGCCACAAATTCATCCTTAAGATGTATCGGGCCCAATCACTCATCATCAAGACTGGAATTTTGTGGTCCCCAACTCTGATGTCAGTCAAAGGAATGGGAATAGACAGCTTGTAGTGATGAGCAACACGGTGAACATCACGTTCGGGGTTTCTTTCGTCACATCGGCCTAAAGAAGCTATGGTGGAAGCTGCAGCTTCTGGGACCTCCTCAATCACAGCTCGTGCACTCCTAATCGCCACAGAGCAAGGTACCTAGGATCAAAGCGTAGTACATTCTAAAAGGGAGATAAAGGAACGAGTGATAGCAACTTCATGTAAGCAACACCTATCAAAGTAGTATACATGTATAACTCGATCTGTATAACCACATAATTTCCAAATCAAAGGAATCACAACTACTTGAATTCTGAGAATGTGTCACTGCTGAGGTTAGAACTCCATCGCCGACCTCTTGAACGAAGCGTCGCAGGCCTGGCCCTGCACCTGGCAGTTGCAAGTCTTAAGATCATACAACTTTTGGAATTTTTGGGGCAGGTGGTATTGTCAAGGGTTTGGTTTCTTTTGGAAACATTGTCAATCAGATTGCATGCATGGCAGTGGCAGCTAATCACTTTGTTTTTTATCCACTTCAACTCCGGACTTGTCTGCCTGCCCTCAACGCAGCCCCATCTGCATTGAAGGGTTTTTCAAATCAAAGACCGTTGGAATCTGATGATCTCCGATAGGTATCGGATTGAATTTTCAACAGCGTGGCAAAAGCAAAAATGCAGCCACACAGGATGCACTGGAAGCCCTCAAAGCGACCATCAAAAAAAGTACCAAGTCATGTGAGTATATCATATATATGAGTATGGGCGAGTGAATGTCAAGATATGTCAAGATTTTCTTCCAGGTCGCAACTCCGTGAGACATGGGCTATAGAAGCCCTGGTCTCAGCAAGGTGCTGCCGAGTGATACAAAGACTGGAAACAAAATTATAATATTAGATTACATGTTACTGTAAAAACTGTACATCATATTTTAATCATCGATGACAATATATCATAGCAACCTGGCATTCAATGAGTCATCGCATCTAGAGAGGGCCCTATGGTGAAACTACTTCCTCTTAGCAGTCTTGGGGCGTTTGCGGGTGCTCGGTTCAGCATTGGTGTCCGGCTTTGCATCTGACTCTGTGCTACGCTTGGTGCTGGGCCGCCGTTTGTTCGGCTTGGGCTTGTTCTCCCCCTCATCCAGCTTCTCCATGAAGGGTTTGTCCTTCCTTGGCATTTTTGATGTGTTTTCTTTTCAATGAATATAAATTTTGTTGGGCCATTTTAAGAGGCTGCGCTTGCCATGTGCTGAGGTTGATGCCGGACCTTCACTTCGGTCGCAGAGGCTCGGCTACACCTGAAACGGTATGTGATGGGTTGGGCCAGGATGGTGTTGAGCAACTTGGGTACTCTTGTAACACTTTAGCCCCTGGCACAAAAGTAGCAGTCTTCATTTTTGCCTGCGCACCAGCCCACCACCTTGACAAATTGACAGCGGTATCAGCTGTCATTCGGCACCATGAAACTGTGAAATTTTCATGTCTTGAGTGACCCATGTAAAATTAAGCCACAGACCCGCTGCCAAAGTTGGAAGTCTCTCCTTTGGCGACCTCTTCCTGCAGCGTATCATATTCCTTCTCCAATTTGCTGATGTGGTCGTTCAGCAACTTCAGAGACCTAGGGGATGAGATATGATTTTATCCTAGGAGAGAATCCACTCAGAACTGGAATAAGCTGGCCAACCAATGTCATTTCACAGATTTAAGACCCTGGCTGATCACCAGAGGCAGCAGTATAGTTTCCGGTGATGTCACGCTTCAACATCTTCATTTTGGTCACACTTTTCAAGATGGACTCCATAAACTTTCTGAGGTGCTCTCTGTTCTGGTTCTGACGGAGCAACATGGTAGGAATGAATAAAAAAATGAGTTGAAATCACATTCAAAGCTGACACATAAAACTGTAAAGCATGGATGCCAGCAAAATCATTTCACACTCAAACCATGATAGCTGGCATGCCTGTGGCAACGTTGGATCATCCTCAACACCTTTCTCAGCAGGGGGAAGGGCTGCCGTGCGAGCTTCGTAGGCTTTGACATCATCGAATGCCTTGCCATCAATCTCCACAGGCGCGTCAGCCTCCAAGCTGACCGTTGTTTGGGAATGGGACTGACCGTTGTTTGGGAATGGGAATGATGCCTTCAGAAATCTTCAGAACAAGTAGGATTAGGAGGGTAACTCCCATGCATGCACCACCTTTGGCATATTCAACTGTGTTAGGACATCTTAGGGCCTTGGAGGAGGAAGTGGTCCGGGTCTCCTCTTCTCGCAGCTGCTCCCTGCTTCCCCTCTCACGCACTGTAACCCAAAACTCCAAGACTTTGTCGTAGAGATTTCTCCTGGCATTTCCGCTGCCAACGGTTTCCAGGCAGATGGAAAAGGGAGGACGCATGGAGCGGTTTGGTGCCCCAGCCTGGTGTAGCCCTCCTTGTCTTGGCAAAAGGCCTTTGCTCCACTGATTCTCTGCCTAGGGAATTTGAACACTAGATCACAACACAAGGGATGATAAGGAAAATGGGATCAGATTGATTGTTAAGGCATTCAAAATCTAAGAGATGTACTGGCTCCAATTCAGTTCGCTTTTCATTTCCCCTTCAGAGTACCATCCCTCGTCCTTGGTCAAGCGAGTGGAGTTCTTGTTCGTCACGATCTTCTCCATGAGATCAATGAATTTTGTCTGAGTCAGGACAAGGGCAAAAATATAAAGAGGTGAATAATGGGGAGAGGTGGAAGGGTGGCAACAAGTATTGAACATTCTTTCTCACCAAAACAGAAACAAAAGAATCCTCCACCGCTAAACCAACATGTCCATCAAGAGCAAAACCATCGCCATCAACAATACCCACAGCACAACATTAAAACAATCCTACACTACTATACATTACGGTAAAACAACTCACAGTAACAGCACAAGACACAAACCCGACATCAGCCCTCCAACACAGGAACACATTGGCACAATGACTTATGTAAAGGAGTTGTGATTTCATGTTTTTGACATGGGAATTCTTTCAGAACCTGGCCTTGTCCCAGTTTACCTGCTGTAGGCACAATGCCATTTCTTCTTTTTCCGAAGTTCCTTTCTCCCACTGCTCCCGCACCCATGCTGGTACTTGAAGATCAGTCCTCTTCCTTTTGCTAGCAACCATCCTTGCGATACGAGCCTTTGCAGCATTGCGAAGCAGCTCCTTAGGCGAAGCTAGGGCTACGGGAAAAAACATACAGGGTGGATTTCAGAGAAATTGTGAGCAGCATATTTCCTCCAAAGGGGTCCTATCTAATTATGGTTGAACACCCATGGCTCCCACATTGCAAAAATCACAAGTTGGGAAACCTCTCAATTGAAAGAATGGATTATGAAGCTTTACCATATAACATATATTTTGGATTGCGCAGGGCATGCGTATGACTTTTATGTTTGAGATGTTCAGCAGAGCATCCCGGCGAGTGAGAACACGTTTCGGCTTGGTGATCTTGGTGCCACTAGGAGCCGGTGGCGTCTCAGGTGTCATGTTGTTGCCATCCCTGGTGGCACCTTCCGAATCTTCTGGTTCTTCTTTCACTGGAATGTCAGGCCCAAAGGCAAGTGCAAGTGAAACCGCAAGGTCATCAACGACCTTGACTTCCTTAGGCTATAGACATATGATTGCATAATTTCAAAATATTTCAAAATATGACGTGAAGTTGATTCCATGTGTATCCTCACACTTTTCGAATAAACCATTGCAAACTAGAAGCCTCAGCCCCAAAGTATGGATCTCCTTCTGCTTGTTTTTGTGGGGAGGCATCATCAGGCAACCCTGGTAACTCTGGCTCTGCATCTGTGGCAGCATCGCTGATGCCCACCTCAGGTGCAAGCGGTGGTCGATCCTCCGAAGCTGCTGGAGAGGAACTGTCCTGCAAAGCTGCCCCGGAAGAGGGTTGATTAGAACGTGTTTTCTTCTTTCTTGCCACAACTGAAGAGTTTTCAATGGCAAGGTCAGTAGTCCTTGTTTTCATCATTACCACCGGAATCAGAAGTAGGGGCGGTTGTAGAAGGAGGAGAGCTGGTTGCAGAAGTGGGGGACAGGCTGAACTTAGCCTTGGCGAATGACATGAAGTCATTGTTCCACCAACCAACAAAATATATTGTACAAAGGGTTGAAGTCATCAAGCAAATCGCAAAGCCATCCTAAGAAAGGATACATCCTAAGAAAGGGTACATCGTGCGAACACTTGCAATAGCAGGAATGGCCACCGAGACCCTGGCAATTTTCCCAGTCAGTCCGGTCGCAGTCACGGCCTCGATCTGCAGCAGCTCCTTCTCAAGGTCCTGCAAGGGCGGTGTATGGAAATCAAAACCATACATGATATACTGAACAAGTGATGATGATATATATGATTTAACTTGATTTAACTTGGGGTATAATGTGTAATCAGCATGTTGGGGTCCTCAATCTCAGTAAGCAGGACTCCCTCGTCATGCACCAGGGCTTCATACATGACATCCTCGAACCCTACCTTCAAGGTCTCACATGACCACATCTTCGACATGTCCTACACCTAAAGGCCTAAAGGACAGGAAGATTCACCAATAGGCCAGTGGACCCGAAATGAATCCTGCGGTGGAAAAAAAGTATCAAAGATCTGATCTTGTAGCAAGCCCCATGCACCAAGAAAGGCTATTGCACGTGCTTGATTCAGCTATGTCCAGCCACACGACATTTTTTTCACGCAGGATCAAGCCACGTGCAAATTGTTCTAAATCGAGCCAGATTAGCTCCATTTACCATCGAAATTTGTGCCAGATTATGCACAGGAGGCTAGCTTCCGAGAGGTCCCCAAAACCCACTTTTTCATTATGGGTTTTTATGGGTTTTTTATGGGAAATTATGGGTTTTTTACGGGATGATTACGGGTTCCCAAAAACCAGGTTTTCCCAATTTGTGGGTTTTCCACGGTATTTTTATGGGTTTTTATGGGTTTTTGATGGCTTGTTTATGGGTTTTTATGGGTTTTTTATGAAAAACCTGCTTTTTTCCCCGTTCTGAACCAATTGTGGTCGAATATTTCAGCTAAAACCTCCTATGGTGTTTTGTCGGCACCCATGGTGCCTCATGTGGCATGGCTAGATGCCAGTGAGGAGGAAGTTCTAGTCCTTTCCCACCCCGAAGGTAATTGTAAACAGCGCTGAGGTCCGCCGTTTGAAAAAGGCCGTCCACATCTTCTGGAGTAGAGGCCAAGATTTCGGGGCCTGTCGGGCACGGAGAAGGCCCCAAAGGCTCCATGGGGCGACCATTAATTAGATGCTCTCGGATGTTCACAATGCGCTGGGCAAAAGGGACCGGATAAGTCCTGCCAAAGTAGGCAACTGCAACCGGAACCCAAAAAGGTTAAAATTAACCCTGCCCATACTGATTATATAATAACCGTTGATTAACCAATTAACCAGATACCTGAAGCCATGGTTATGTTTCGGGATCTCCTCATAATAAATGTCATACAAGAAAAGTTGATAAGATATGATAAGATTGAAAGAATATGAAAATATACAAATTTTATCAAACTTCCATGACTGAATTGAACCAAAGTTCTGGGTCTCACGTAGGTGACGTGTGCCATGCCAACATCGGCGACCTTCTGAATTAAAGTAGTGCCTAACAGTTTGCACCTGTGCCCTCATCCGGCGCCACCCCACATCCAACCGGCGGATGCCAGTAGAATTCGACCATGCGTACTGCCTTTTCGGTGTTTTTGCACCATACATAGACATCCACCAGGCAATTCGATTCACCTGGCGAGAGGCAAGATGAATTGTTTTTTTGGGTGGGTATGTGGGAGGTGTGTCTCTCAAATTTTGGGGCCATATGCCACCCATTAAAATATATAGGGTCAATACCATTTTCTTTGAAGCAAAACAAATGGAAATTTGAGACATCCCGGTTGCAACACATACTGCAAACACAACTATGAACAAACTGGGGTTTGGGCTCCGAAATCGCCAAACAGTTGGTAGTGACAGTGCATGAGGTGGAGAAAGGCTGGGTAAAACTCAAGGACCGATGTTCCAGGTTGTTCTAATACCCATACTCCAAATTTTGCTGCGACCAGCATGATCAGAAGAATAGTCCTGCGTGCAGGGTTCTTTAAACAAAACCGTTCAAAATAACAGGAAAAGTATCGGAATGTATTTTCTTGAAAAGGGTTCCTCATGATTACTCGGACATTGGGAATTGATTTGGTTGCAGTGGTGTTACATAGTGGTACCCGTGGGCTGTCCTCTCCAGTAACCCGTTGGAGTAGTTCACTGAAGGTGCATTTGTATCCCCGATACTGTTGCAGGCACTACGCTTGCTGGTTCCCCGGTTTACACCAGTGAAGGAAGAGCATTTTATGCCAAACCAGGTGATGCAATCGGCCGTTCGCTGCTTCATGATGAACACCAGTGCCATCCTCAGAATGACAGCCAGGGGGCAGTAGAAAAGAAACGGTATAAAGCCTATGTAGCCAACCCATAAGCATCACAAAAGTATCTTGTAATATTTTGTATGAATAGGAATAAATTTGACCACCAACATCACCAACAACCTGCTAAGTAAATCTAAGTAACACAAACCCGGCTGGTGTTTGCAGGTCATGCCAGTTCGACTTCCGTTTGCCCTGCTTCGTCTTATCACAGTAGAGGATATCAAAGCGACCACTTACATACCCTGCCCGTCTCATCTGTAAGGTGCAATTTCCCTTTCCGGCGTAAAATTCCAGCCATTGAAACTCCTGGCACCCAGTAATGAGAGGATATGGCCATTTTGGGGGCATCTTTGGGGTCAGCCTTTACTATACTCACCACAAATCTGATTGGATTTTGAGTACCTTCCCAGGTTCAAAAAACAAGTATGTAGGACAGTATGACTATGGGGAAGCTTTTCACCTCATGCCTCCTCCAAATCAAAGAGCCCCTTGGTGTAGTAGACCAGAACGAGGATTCGAAGCAATGCCTTGGCAGAGCAAGAATGGTTTGTTTCCAGTCTCCTCCAAAATTAGTTTGTGCCAGCCATGGTGGTGTTGGTAATATAATTCTTTGCTTAGATACACGTGGTGCCCCAAGCTTGGATAGGATCCACATCAATCCCACTAAATCTTGCTCATGGTGGATCCGGTTGTCCATGGCAATCAGGCTGGACAGCAGTTCTGCTACTTGGAACTTTGCCTTCAAGGCTGGATCTCTTGAGCCCCTAAATTTTTACAGTAGCTTGTTTGTAGTCATAGCTGGAAGGGCCAACCACGGCTGAAATTGCAAGAGGTCTGCTGGAACTGAAGCATCACTAAAACTATGAATGGTATTCAATCTGGCCGGATGTACAGCGTGACTTTGCATTGGACCTCCGGACATGCCTGGTCCTCTTGGGAGCAGCGGCACATGCACCTCAGATGGGGCCCAACAGGGGTTTACTGGCGACATACCGTGAAAGTGCAACAGACTTTATGAAGTCTATCCCAAAGAAGATCACATTGTGAAATTCTTGAACCCTGCAAATTTGTTTTGGATGTTTCTTTCAACCAGGTGAATGGGCATGTGCGATATTTTTTGGATTTCTGCCCTGAATCAACCTTGAACGGAAGTGTGCACTTTTTCATTGGAGCTGGCTGCAGGTTCTCTCGAGTCATCAGCGACGCTATCCCGCAGCCCACCCAGGACAGGATGGTTGTGGTCCCACAAGCTGCATTGCTTGAGAACTGACGAGTGGAAACATATTCAATGAGATAACTAGTATGATACTGATGTTTTCCTAATTGGTGCTATTTGGACATTTGGTGTAAGACTTATACAAATGCGAACTGCCTCAAGCAATCCTACCAGCAAGTGACCTGAGAACTACGAAGCTTCATTGAATCCTAAGAAGCAAACCTTGATAAACCTTGTCAAAGAGACAGCACAGTTGTCAAGACACTGTGTGCGCACCCATGTATTGTACCATGCCTTGCATGGCTCTCAAAGCACAACCTACAAAATTTTGCGTGTCAACAGACAGCTCAATTGATCTAATCCAACTGGGTCAAACGACGGAGAGCTTCGGCCCCTGCCGCCTTATAGGCCACGTGCAACTGATCCATAGCATGCTCCTCACGGTCAAATCCCAACTTGTACCCCTCGCGCTCGATGGATTGGGCCTCAAGTCCAAGCAGTCATTGGACATCACTGAGCCCATCAAGGTATGTAGAACTTTTTAGACCTTGCTTATCTAGGGGAAAAACTTAAGATATACGAAGTGAAGTCAAACATCATACATCATCATACAAGTACCAATTTTTGATCTAGCCACCATGTATGCACCAGTGGCCACTGCAACGACCATCCTCAAAAGGGAAGTTCCCAAAGATGATGGGAATGTGAAAGAGTAGGGATCACAGGTCTTGCCATCGGACTTGTACATTTTGATACCACATCGGCTGGTTTTCCAGTAAATGGTCAGCTGTGTATATTTGAAATCAAAACATTCCGTCACGGCTTCTTTGGTGTAGAATTTCAGATCATCAAATTCCAAATTGTGGTAATCCAAGCCCGCAGCGAAATCACGAATCTGGCCAACTTTCTGTTCAAAATCATCAGACCCATTGGCTGGGGCATCATTGTCGGCCACCATGCGACGATTCTTGCGCTTGGACACCCGCCTTTTGGACACCCTTGATTCTGATACTCCTGGAGCTGCAGCAACGGTCTGTGGTTCATCCTCCTCCTCCACACTCATCTTTGCCTTCTTGCTTGGGTTCCTGGACTTGGAAGCTGAAGGCTTGGGGTCTTTGGTCTTGGAACGAGGTTCACCTTTGGAACTGGACGCACGGGAAGACTTGGAAGCAGCAGGTTTGGAACTTGAAGCACGTGTAGGCTTGGGTTTCTGCTCAGCTTTGGGCATGGAACAACTGGAGGCCTTGGGAGCATTCTTGGGTTCAGCGTCAGATCTGGGAGTTGAAGCACGGGAACTCTTGGGCACCTTGGGCACCTTGGGCACCTTGGGCACCTTGGGCACCTTGGGCTTGGGAGTCTTGGCATCACTACGCTGGTTCTTCTTACGCTTCTTACTGGTCTCCTCAAGAGCTGTTGGTTCACCATCCCCTTCTCCCATCTCACATTCATCCTCTTCCATTTCTTTCTCACTCTCACCCGAAGAATGTTCAGCTTCTACCCCACGTTTTCCACGGCCACCCTTTCCCCTGCCACGTCCACGACCTCGACCTGGAGCTCTGCCCCGCCCACGCCCATCCTCCTTCTTGCTCGCTTTGGAAGCTAGCTGATCACGGCGGGTCACCACCTGACATGCGCAAAGAAATTGGAGGAATGCATGTGCAACACAAGTCAACCCCAAACATTGGAAACATATGGAAAATATGAAAACACTTTCCTCATAATGATAAAGAAAATTAAGTTTTGATGACTTATGGATTCATGGCATCATATGGTGTTTTTTGAATCCAGGACCTCAGTATGATCCTTTTTTTCAAGATCAGCTTCAGGCTCGACAGTGGGGGCAGGGGTTGCCTTCTCGACTGGTTCGGAAGCATCATGGTCACCTTTGGAATCATGTGATGAAGTTGGGGCAGGGTTTGGTGTCTCAGGGCACAACTCCACGGTTGAAGGTAACTTTGGGTTCCCCTGATACTTTCTCCTCTTCGTCTCCACATCTTCAAAGCTTTGAACTTTGTGGGGTGTTGGTCCCGGTGATGGCACTGCAGATTCCAAGTAGGGCTGCGTATCCAGGTCATCGGGGCTCACAAGCTTGGCTCCTCCTGTGTGCAAAGAGGATTATGGACTATGATCGGGATATGATTTAAATATCTAAATCCATCCAGGTTATACCCAACATCCTATGATTATGTAATTTACACCTTGTGATGCTTCTTCAAAAATTGTCATACACCAGAAACACAACAGAACTCATTTTATATCCATGTCCTCCAGTGTGAGAAGCAGGCTCAGGAATCACAGCTGGTTGGGCTGGTTCGGGCGCTTTCATCTTGTTCTGGATCCTAGGTTGACTGGATGTGAGGATTGGACAATACGGGATGTGGATTAGTTGAGCATTCCCTTCATGGGGTATATCCTTTTTTTGATTGATTTTGAGAAAGGTTTCAAAACTGAAAATAAAAATCCTACAATGTTTTCATATTTGATGGCTAGGATCGCCAACAAAGCATTTTTCTTCTCCAAAATGGACTCCAAGATCTTGACTCGCCTATACATCATGTGGCTGTACTGATCATCGCCTCAGGGAAGCGAGTCAAGTGGCATCGTTGATGGGGTCCTATTACATCTATTACTGTTTGGATATGATATTCTATACTTTATACATTTGGTGGAAAACTATAACCCACCATGACCCACCCAATCCCAGTCGAAAGCCTGAGGGAGGTGACACTGGGGGCGGTGTCAGTGCGGCCACGGCCGTATGCTTGGCAGGCGGAGTCACGATTGAAGCAACTGATGGTGCAGGAGATGGGGCTTGAGGGGTAGCGGTAGCACTGGTGAGTGACAGAGCTGGTTGTGGTGGCACCACCTCTTGTAAACGTTCGGGATCACCAGATGGATTGCCCTCTTTACCATCATCATCAGAACTGTCATCATACGAGGAGTTCGTAGCATCATCTTCCGTTGCAGAGTCCTCGAAAGTGTTGATGAATCACAACGGATATAATTTGTACAAAACCAAGTTTCGTATGTGGGCTTGATTAAAAACATTTCATCACCTATGCAGGGTTCCAAAGGAAACATTGAAAAACTTGAAACGTGTCCTTCTGGGAAATGGGCTGAGACTTGGCCTTCGCGAGGACTTGGGTGATTTTATCCTGCCAATGCTGGTGATGAAGGACTGGCCTGGGGATATGTAAAGACCAAGTAAAACAATTTAGAAATAAAATATATATCCATAGTATTTTATATAACCCTGCTATGCGTCGAACCTGGCCTCAAGTAAGGGCTCCACAATCAAGAGCAGGTCGTGGAAGTCGGTGTCCTTTAGGCTGCTGACTGGACCCCCAAAAATGACATCTTGTTTCATGGGAGGGGGCACCAAGTAAAACAATAAATCCATGCTTAGCTACAGCCCAAATTCAAGACTTACTTCCCCTCGTCGGGCTTTCCGTTTGATGAACCTGCACATCTTGCGAAGCTCCCACGCATCATCTTCAACAGTCTTCTCACAAGGGTTCCGAGATGATTTTCTGTAGGCCTCATGACATTGTTCCTGGAGATTGTCGATCTGAGGCATTTTCAACCCACAAGCGTAGAGCCGGTGAAGCATCGAGGGTAACACATCCACGTTGGAAACACACTGGAAAATAGTGGCATCCTTGGTAGTGTCCTTGTTCCCCACCAAATGTTTCCCATCTCGAAGCCTAGCCCTGATTTCCTCATGGGAGTCCCACTCCATCGCCAGATTTTCACAATCAAACTGCATAGTCATGTTCTTTGACACTGACACAACCTTGGGCCAAAATGTGGCTGGGATTAACTATAGGAAGTCTTGCTGTCAACATTCTTTTCCAACATCACCATGCATCCATGATCCTGGCAGGAGCTTTGCTGAGCATCCCGGCGATTAGGTCTGTGACTTCTGTGACTACGCCGCGGCATTAGCCAAAATGGCTTAGGGATTGGTGGAGGAGGTAGGCTATGAGGGCCATGTTTGATTATAAAAGATAGCTGAGCTTCTGAAAAGTAGGTTATTGATTCAAAACCAGGTTATCGATATCAAAACCTCGAAATTTGTGGGAAGAGCCTTCAGAACCCGGTTCTTGCACTCCAACCTGCTATTTTGTGGGTTTTAGTTGAAGTAGGTATATACATACACACACATATATATATACATATACTGTGATTCTTCCATTTGAGCCCACATGTGAACCCATCAACTCCGGTCTTGCCAATAATAGCTGCCGTAACGCCTCTTCTACGAAGGGCGCTACATAAGCGTAACTAATGAACTCAAGCCCGGCCATCTCTCCATCATGTCAGGTTCGTTTGTGGAAGACACATTGGCTCAGGCGTCCAAAGCAGGTGGGCGGGCAGGGATCCGTGTCTTTGAAGCCATTCTGTGCTGCAATCACGACAGGGTCGTGGATTTGGACGTGGCCGTCCATTTGGCATCCTTTTTGGCCAGACGATCGTTGCCGACCGCTGGAGGGGAAAACATCAGAGCGCTTGGGAGCGCGTGCAGTTGAGAGTGGAGCTACCCCACTTACATTGGTAGCGGAGCTCCTGACAAAGGAGCATCCGGGGAAAGCCTATGCCAGAGCCTGGAACTACAGCTGGAGGTGGTGAGACAACAGGATCAGCGCCATCATCTGTGAGCAGCCAACTGGCATACCTAGTGCCGAGCTTCGACCCGTCCAAGGGTGACCTGCTGATTTACCAGCAGAAAGTGGAATTGGTCACAGCCGCGTGGCCACCTGACAAATATGTTGAACTGGTAACAAGACTGGTCCTTAACTGTCAGGGCAGCGCTTTTCAGAAACTGCAGATCCACCAGTCAGAGCTTCTTCAGAATGACCGCAAGTCGATTGAGCGACTGATCGAGTTATTGGGGGGAAGCTGGGGTCGTATCCCACTGGAAAAACAGTTTGATGAAGCCGAACAGGCGCTCTTCCACTGCAACCAACGGATGGATGAGTCGAATGACTCTTACTTGGCCAGGGCAGAGATTCTTTGGAGCAAGTTACTTGCTCGCAAGCTTCGACTGGAAGACATTCAGGCTTTCATTGTCTTGCGTGGCAGCACTCTTGCCGCCGAGGACAAGAAGCGAGTGATTCTGGAGTCCGACAAGGAGCAGGCAGGATCTCTGACCATGAAGCGAGTGGCCGAGTCGATCCGACTCTTGGGAGCATCCTTTTTCATGGATGTCACTGGACAGAAACGGGTCAAGACCAAAGTCTATGACCAAGCAGCCTTGATGTTGGAGGACCAGAATGACATCACAGAAACGATGATGACGGACGAAATCACGGAAGAAGACTTTGTAGAGGCCTTGATCGCAGAAGGAGAAGACTCTGATGCAGTTCTCATAGCTGACTTTGAGGGTACAGCTCAAGATCTTCTACAAGATGATCCTGAGCTCTCAATGGCTTTCACTGCATACACAGATGCCAGAAAAAGGTTGTCTGAGAAGTTCCGAAACCGAGGTTTTTTTCCGACGTCACGATCAGTTTCCTCGAGCATGTCTGGAAAAGGCAAGGGATACGGGGGAAAACACCAGGGCAAAGGGGGCAAGAGCTTTCGACCCAAAAGAACGTTGCAAGACAGAATCCTGAACTCAACGTGTAGAGCATGCGGCCGAAAAGGCCACTGGAAAGCCGAGTGCCCTTTCAACAAGGGTTCCGCAGGATCAACCAGTACCTCAGGTACGACGATGCCCACGACCACTTTGGTCGCCGAGGAGACAGGATCCGATCTGTCTCAGGTTTTGCCCATGGAGTTCCTGCAGATCCCTAGCATCGATGAAGCTGATCCCTCCAAGCAGTGTCCCATAGATGAAACACGACTGCCTGTAGCACATGTTTTTGGGGTTTTTCATGATGGTTTATTTACCTCCCATAGAGAAAGACTCAAGCAATCCATAGAACATTACCAGGGTAAGATTCACCATGAATCAAGGGAAGGTAGTGCCAGGGTTGACCAACAATCGTCTCGAGAGAGACTCAGAGCCCGAATGCTCAGGAATGAGAGCCCACCTGAGAAGTGCACTGCCACTTCACCTGACCGCAGCCATTTTGGCAATCGTGTCTCCGAACCAAGGGTGCATAGGGCCGAAAACCATATGCCTATCACTAAGGTGTCAGATCAGAAACCATCAGATCATGTTGAAGCTCAGATCTGCTTTGCCAGTCATGGTGCGGCCGGCATCCTGGACTTAGGGGCATCCAAAACTGTAATTGGCAGTGAACATGTCACCACGCTGATTGAACAGCTGGAGCCACAGATCCGCAGTCGACTCCGAAGATGTCCATGTGAAATTACTTTCAGATTTGGGAACCAAGCCACACTAACAAGTAGTCAGGCCTTAGTGATCCCCATTGGCGTTTTATCCTTAAAGATAGCCATAGTCCCGGGAGGTACCCCATTTCTGTTGAGTAATACTCTCATGCGTGCTTTGCATGCCAGCATCGACTGCCGATCACACGAAATGCACAGCCCGATGTTTGCCTTCCCAGTGAAGTTGCAGCTGTCCAGCCGTGGTCTGTTTTTGATCAATCTCAATGAGCTGACACAAGCATGTCAAGCCACCCTGCCGCGGAAAGTCATGCCGACTTCACCGCAAGAGACGTACATGTCCGATGAGGTAGAAAAGATGATGCCAGCAGGGTCAGTGCCTAACGTCAAACATGATCATACCACACCGTGCCACATGAAATCAATCAGTTTTGAACCACAGGAAACCTCATGCCAGTTCGCTGTCAAACACACACCTCATGAATCACCATGTACCACCACTGCCAGAAATGATGCAAAGATCCCAGAAATCGACAGTGATGATCAGAAGTTCCCAACAAGCTCCAATCAGAACCATGAAATGCCAACGGAATTCAATGTGTCTGACCCTATCGATGTACAGGCCCGAGATTCAAGCATTCCCAGTGCCAACAAGCCGCCAGACTGTGATCGCAATGTCGTCGCTCCAGCAACGGTTGCGTGCCATTCAGACACCGATCGAGGTGGAGGTTCAAGACCTGAGCCACCTCACCTTAGAGGAACTATCTCAGGAGAAGGTGTCGTTTGGCCAGAAACATCTGGGCCAACCATATGCCGAGGCATGGAAGGACCAGGAGTGGGTGACCTTCATGGTGTCTCGATACGGGGGCAGCACGAAGTTGGAACACCGAAGGTTCATGAAGTACATCGACTTGAAGGTGACCCAGCACGAGACCCACCAGATGCCAATCCCGGTAGTGCCGCCGGACAGTGTGCCACTGCAGCCAAGTGCCAAAGCATGCAGCCCAGGCATGATCGCCGCGGCCAAGCCCAAGGCTCGAGGAGGACATTCCCGAGCGATTCACCTCCCCGACATGGAGGAGGGAGGATGGTCCATGGAGCCCGGTATGGAACCCGGGATGTACACCTCAGCGACTATGACCTCCGGTGGGAACCAGGAGATGGAGGCAATGCAGCAACGCATTCTCAACATGGAGAACGCACTCACTCGAGTGATTCGTCATCTCGAGACGCAGCATGGGACAACAGCCCCTCCGATGACATCCCTGGAGACATCCGACACAGACTGAGCGAGGACTGGGAGGCAGACATTTTCACCGTCATGCCAAGTGAGATCCAAACACTCAAAAGGTTGATTCAGCAATTTGAGAAGGAACTCAGAGATATCAGCCTTCATGTCCGACCAATGGGAAAGCCAATCACTTTGATAGAGGTTTTTTGTAGTGAAAGATCACCTCTGACCCACCAAGTGAACCAACTAGGACAGACGGCACAGCGCTTTGGCTACAGTGAAGCCGATCTCGCCACCAGTGAGGGTCGATCACGACTCTTTAGTTCCCTGATCCGCCACAGACCGAAACACCTGTGGGTGAGTCCAGACTGCGGGCCATGGTCCTCATGGGCACAATTGAACGAGTCCAGATCATTGGAAAGCCAACAAGAATACGCCACCAGACGGCACCAACTGCTGTATCAACTTGCCTTATGTATCGTGTTGTTCCGCCATCAAGCCCAGAGGGATCAGGATTTCCATTGGGAACAGCCTGCCAGGTCCTTGATGCTGTCACACCCAGGTCTGGCAGAAATCCATGCATACACTAAGGCTTGTCAGTTTGATATGTGCAGGGCTGGGGAGTTGCGGTGTCCACTGAATGGTATGTTCATGAAAAAGGGCATGGTTGTGTTAACTACCGATGAGGGGTTATATCATAAGTTACATGGGTTAACCTGTAATCGCCAACATGAACACCAAGCCATCGAGGGAACCACCATGACCAAAACAGGGCCATTGCTGAGGACGGAATACACTGCTCGATACCCCCGAAAGTTTGCCAGACTTGTTGCCAAGGCCATGACAGCAAATCGAGGTATCCAAAGGAGACCCAATTTGCCGAGGGACAACCAGGTCCACTGTGCCGAGGACACTGCGCTTGCTGGCACTCACCGAATCCGAAAGCCAGCCAGTTTTGCCCGATCGGAAGTGATCTCGCCAGAAGCCAAGAATGAAACCGAAATCAAACGTAGACGCCTTTCTGGTAAACAAGGCGAGTCACAGCCTTTGCAGATGTATCAGTCCACCATGACTGCCCTCTCACAACAGATTCCCCGAGTCGGAAAGTCAGAGATCATGGACAGTAACCTCATCAGCCAACTACAAGAGTTATTCCCCGACAAGTATATCACCCGAGTACTAGCATGTAGAGGAACCGACAGAACTATGGGGCC